AAAAAAAAAAAAAAAAGACTTGATCCCTTAAGTCAATGACACTCCCCACCATTATGAAACAAACACCTCCTAGGAGTAAGCGCAGAATTGCATGGACACCATTTCTTCAGAATAAGGCATCAGTGGAGAAACATTCCTAGTACCTGGCTGCTGCTGCTGAGGATGGATCACTTCCAACTTAGCATTGTCAGAGCAGAAGGGACCACAGACTGCAGATCCAGGGTGGGTCACAATAGAAGCATCACTCACACAGGCCTGGGCTGCAGGGGTCCAAGGGGATGGTCCAGGAGCTGAGAGCTCCATCTCTGCCTCCTCTTGGCGAGCTCTGAGGCTGGGCATGGCTAGAACCTAAAAACCATCAAGAACAGGTGAGTGTACAAAGGGACTCCTGCCAGGGAATCCATCCTCCCATCACACAGGGGTCTCTTCCTCTAACCCTGTAGCTACCCCAAGAGGGCCTGGTGCTGTTTAGTCTCAGTGATTAATGCTATGTTCCCTGGTCAGGGACCCCAGGGGAGGGAGAGTCAGCCATGGGGACAAAGAGTTGTGAGCCAGGGCTGCAGATACAAAGGGCTAAGATATTGTTCACAAAGCAAAGCCCACAGTACCCAGCAGGAACCCCTGCCTCCCAAATGACCTGGGCCCATCATGACAGGAGAGTAGCCCCAGAGGGTACAGAGCGCTATGAGTCCACGCTTCTCACTGACTGTTTCTGACATGCTACTCTGAAGCTGGGCACACCAGACCAGCTAAGGCAGAGCAGCCAGGGGCAGGCTGTACTACAGACACACATGGTCATCATGTACCAATGTCCACCAATCCTAGTGGTCAGTTCTGTCTGGGTTGCACTCTCCCAGCAGCATCTACACTGGGTGTCCCCAACTCTGCCTGGGGTGTCCTTCTACTGCATTAGTTACACCCTCCCAGCCTCTCATCTCCCTCTTCTTGTTAGCACCCCAGGGTTCACTTCTGCACCTACACCAATTTCCTTGGTGATTTTTGCCCAGTCCTGAGGTGTCAATGCTCCTTATCCTGAAGACTTTCAAACCTGAGTTCATTTCCAGTCCTAATTGCTCCCTCTAAGCAAGTAGCATGAAGGGGTCCCCCACCCCACCTCCTCACTGCCCTTTCTGTGCAAACACACCACACCCTGAGTGAGGCCTATCTGAGAACAGTGGCATAAGGCAGGATCTCACTCACACAGCACTCACTGACTGCCCTTCAGGCATGAGCACAAGGCAGGAAAAACTGGCAGAAACCCCCAGTGGAAAATGCATGTCAATTTACAGACTGGATTTCTCCTCTTAGATACACCTTTTTCATTGCTGCCTGAACACTCACACCATATGCTGGGGTCTGTTCTAAGGGAGTGTCTGACACAGCAATTTACTGTTGCCCTCATGAAACTCATGGGGGAGACAGATCCTAGTAAATGTATCAGTGAGCTGTGCTCTGGGCAGAGGTAACACAGAAGGAGCAGAGGGCTGGGGCAAGAGGGCATTTTAAGTAGGAAGGTCAGAGAGGGCTGAGAAAGTGACCAAAAGGTACAGTAGGGGAAGAGGGAAGCAGACACAAGAGAAGGCAGTCTGTGGCAAGGGTGGAGTGAAGACAAAGGCTGGGTAAGGCAAGAGAAGGCAGGACAGGTTCCAAGAACAGTAGGACAGCCAGTGTGGACAGGGAAACAAGAGAGCAAAGACACACCCAAGAGGCACTGTCAGGTCCCACAGGCCTTGTAGCAAAGTTACAGCCTGAAATGAAGGCTCCCCATTGGGGGCTTGGAAGGCAGCTAGGAAGCCAGGTGCAGTGGCTCACGCCTATACTCCCAGCATTCTGGGAGGCCGAGGCAGGTGGACTGCTTGAACTCAAGAGTTTGAGACCAGCCTGAGCAAGAATGAAACCCTGTCTCTGCTAAAAACAAAAAAACTAGCCGGCTGTGATAGCAGGCACCTGTTGCCCCAGCTACTTGGGAGGCTGAGGTGGGAGGACTGCCTCATCCCAAGAGTCTGAGGTTGCTGTGAGTTATGACACCGTGGCACTCTACCCAAGTAAAGAGTGAGACTCTGTCTCAAG